GATTGGTCTCTCTCAGCGAGATCCCAAAGTCGGTCATTACCGACGTGATGTCTCTGTTCCCCCCTTCAGGGAACGAGGGTTACATATGTAACTGAGACATTCATTCACTCTTTCCTAACATTGGGATCAGAAGGAAAGCAACGCAAACACTGTTGTTCCACAACTTCACAACTTTCTGAGTAGACATGCGCATTAGCCTCTCTCATAAACACTAAATGCGTGAATCAGTGGGCACGGCTAAACAGGCAGTGATGTCGAAGCAGGTATTGATCGTCTTCTGCAGAAGCGGTGCTTATCCACACTATTACATCATAGAGTAGAACTTTGCAAAAACTGTCATTTTGGCAGACTGCCTTCAGTATAAGCTGTTTTTAGACTAACAACAAAGATTTGAGTTCTGAAACTTACAGGATGTTTTTATAGCACAATGACCTCTTACCTATCAAAAGATCAAGGGAATTTTGTTTTTTGCAGTTCATGACCCCTTTTTAATTATTGTTTGCAGGAGGTGAGGAAAATGTTACTAGAAATAATTGCCTACCCTAGATTTAATGTCAAGTACAAAGGGTGCTGTTGTTACAATCTATCATAGTGCTGGGGTAAGTTGTAACAGTAGGTGGGATGGGTTGTAACACTAACAGAATACATAGACAACAGTTTATATTTTGTACACACATTTATTTTGTTTTGAAAATTTCATTTTCATTTTATTTTGAAAATGTAATTTTAAGCATTTTAATACAAACATTTATTCTAAAGCCAATAAGGTGGAAAAACAAATATGTAAAACATGGGCTAACAATGAAAAACAACATAGTACAGTAGATAGTGTGCGTGCATGTAAGTCAAACATACTCAAAATTGTGTCAGTTGTGAGCTTTTATACAGTCTGATCATGTCATGATATGACACTTTTAGGGTATTATTTAAAGTCATTCATTCAACAATATAAGGTTTGATACTTTTAAGGACCAGTATAGTGGTACTAAATTTGATGAATGCATGACAGGCCAGCGTGGTCTTTATCACAATACCCACCCTGTATTGCCCTCAGCAAGGAGAACAGCCTCTATTTAGTCATCGATAGGCCCTGGTACACATTATTTCAGTGATCTGATGGGCCCAGAGAGGCGTGAAGGACAGAGAAGCATCCTATAGGAATCTCAATACTCAGTACAGGCCACTCTTTAAAGTGGTGTTACAAAATAGTCTATATTGACTACCGGTATATTGTAATTAGCAAAACAGATTTATTTCACTAATGAAAATATATCTCAACCTGATAAGTATTGACTTTTGCAGACATGTAGTGATACAGTCATGACATTTCATAACCATTGTTTTAAAAGAACAGATACAGTAGTGAGGACAGTGAACCTGATGCCTATGAAAGTAAGGAAAAGTGGAAATTCTCCGGTTTGAGAAGTGGTAACATACCAGGTTTCAGACCAAGGTTGATGCTTAAATTAATAAAATTTAATTTTACCTATTTAATTTAACCCTATAAATCCTACAGTATCATATTTGATACACATATTTTGAAGGCCTCTAAATTTAATAGATCAACACAATCAAAACTTTGCTGAAAAAGTGGCCTACATGCCTTCATCATCTGATTGATAGTTTATAATTTTTTAGCAAATAAAAGGCCTTTTAGTATAATTCTAAAATGCCTTTTTGTGGCAAAATCTTCACTGATTTAAAAAAAAAAGTAAACATAAGAATAACTTTTAACTATAATATTTCAAGATTACTGGACCTTACTGGACTAAGGCAAATTCGATTTTTATGAGTATGTCAGACTTTACAGGATACATTTTTCTAAAGATGATGATGATTAATAGTTTTTACACTTGTTTTCAGCACCAAAATATGTGCAGTAGAGAACTTTGTGCACCATTGAACTAACATTAAAGAATCATGTGTCCATCTCAACAGCTAGATGCTGCAGTGCCTTTATTCTCAGAGGAACAAAAGGCAACAGCTTGAGTCTGTCTTTCACATAAAGCTTTTGCATTCCTGACCTGGACCACAATGCATGAGCACAATAGAAAACACATGACATGCTGCTGATGGTAATGTGATAAATAATTTCCTTGAAGTGATTTATATTTTAGTTTTGAATTGATGTCAGCCACTGTTTTTTTTAAATAGTTAATTAGACTCAGGAACTGTGAAAGTAAATAGTTTGTTGTTGATGCAATTACAAAGCAGGGGTATAAAATGTACAGGACAATTGTTGTCACCTGAATGAACTTTACTGTTACTGCGTCAACATCTCACTTTTGCTAAATTTGAACCTGGCCCACAGAAGTAGATTCCACAGAGTACATGGTGCTTCACGACATTCAGTACAATGAAAATTGAGGCAACGCCCCCAGGTTTGACCATGTTTAAGAAGATCTAGTGATGGCCGTTTTTGAAACAGTGCTTCATGAAGCTTCGCAACCTTTGAGAATCACTTGTTTCGAAACAGTGGTTCGGAGCGCGTATCAAAATGCCAAAGTCACGTGATGTCAGTAAACGAGGCTTCGTTACGTCATAACTGTTTCGAAACGTTTCGAAATTTCAGTAGTTCGCCTTGGGGAGATCTCTTGCCTTGTCCCCACACTTGCGGTCTTGGCCACTTTGAGAGCGCGTGCGCGCGACAGGAAGTAAGTGCGCAAGACTGTCCCAGGTCTTAAAAACGGCAAAGCGCAGTGCCCTTAACGCACACTAAACCCACACTATCCCCTTGTCCAGATACCCACGCTTGCGGTCTTGGCCACTTGAGACTATATTGAATACCGCTCCGGAGCGCTATTCGAGGCTTAGTGTATCCCATCATGCATGATGTTCTGGAAATAAATCGTGAGACTTTTTGCCGATATCTCACGAGAGGTCACGGAAACCTTTCCAATGCAAGTTTAATAACCAAAAGGGGCTTTTTATATTAGTTTATACATGCCCCAAAAACGAAATCAATTTGAGAGCTTTCTTGTTTTTAACCAATTCTAAAGATTTGCACACAATTTTAACCTCATTCATCGCAAAGACCGCTAGCGTGGGTATTTGGACAAGGCGTTTGTGAACCCGTGAATCATGCGAGTTCACTGAGGTCGCCCCGCAGCGGCGAACCACTGCATCAGCGTCTATGGTTATACTATCTCGGATCAGTTTGATCAATTTGTGGACATGTTTAATGAGACATTTGTGTAATTAAAAGGATGAGTAGTAGTCTCTTACTGGCCTGTTTAGGCAAGCTCTCCATAAAACAAACAAATAATAATAATTATTATTTTAAAGACGCATAGGCCAGACACTTCATTTTTAATGGTATTTTATTATTTTGATTGCATTTAATATATTATGCTTTCAAGAAAGCGTTTTCATTGGGTTTGTAAAAGCTGTTTTTATGCATGCTTGGGCAAGTTTTTGTTGCATTTACACAGTTTTGACCAGAAGGCGTCACCAGCGTGTGGTGTTTCGAGCGCTTCGAAACAGTGAATCATTTTGTGAAGCAATTGGTTCAATTGATTCGAAGCTTCGAAATGGTTCGTTTCTCCCAACACTAAGATCCCCTAGTGGTGCTCAGATATATTTATCTTACGCATCCTGGAGTGCCCTCTGTTGGTAAGACCTGTTTTTATACAGTCTATGGCAGGGCTGTCCAAAGCTAAACTCTGCAGGACACCGGCCCTCCAGGACCGAGTTTGGACAGCCCTGGTCTATGGGTAAGACATCCTAACTCATTCCATCTCCACTTTACAGAAAACAACGTATACACAACATGGACAACAAATGACAAGGACTAGACCTTCTTACATACCATGCTTGGAGCGCCCTCCTTTGGCAAGGCATCATAGCACATACACAAACTACAGAATAATGTTCACATTTTGTAACATTCTGAATTATTTTTATCTTTGTTTTAGGTGCAAGCCTAGAGCGATGGGTTTTCTCTCCAGTGCTTATAATAGACCCGCTAGAAAGCATGTGTTACGATGTGAAAAAAAAACAAAAAAACCCCAGCAGCTTCATGTTTTGATGTTAACTGTATAGGATTCATGTTGCAGATAAACGCTTCCAATTAGAAATTCTCAAAACACACATGGCAAATTATTCTTTCGGATAAAAATAAATATATTTTATATAGAGTGGACTTCAGGATTAAACTCCCCAGAGACACTGAATATCGGCTCAGTTCATTCAGTTAACTCGAGGCTGATTCGTTCTGAACGAATCATTTAGACCGGTTATGTGAAATGTTCCATGGTTATGTTGTTTCCATAGGTGCTCATTAAAGAGATTATTTTAAAGAACGATTCGTTCAATTTAAGATAAACATCCGGTGCGCATGCGCAGACCGTGGGTCATTGGGCGCGCGCAACTGCCGCCGAGTGTCTCGTGGATTTTAGACTGAACTGCTTTCAGTGACATATCTGGAACGTCTGGTTATCCAATACCGATGGGTTAAAGTCTATCGCGTTGTTGTCGCTTAAATAACTTGCACTATATTGTTTTAAGTAGTATATATTATTAGCTCACCGTCAGCCTCAGCAAGAAAGGATTAAATTTGACCACAGGAAAGCAACAGGCAAGTTTAACGCGAAACAACTCGATCCTTACTTGAATATTGGTGGGATTATGTACAAACAACAATGAGACTGCGATAATTTACTGTTATACATGAACAAGCAGACGTAGTCATAAGATGTGTGTAAGAGCTGACATTGCATATTTGAGTTGTGGATCAATGTGAGTTCACTCAGTCTGTAAGTTCATATGCATTCGATACAAGAGCACATGTTTGCAAACTCCTTTGACACGTTGCTATACGTGTTCTGATAGAGATGTCAGTTTGATATATTGTTAAAAGTGTATTTCTTATAAGACCCTAGAACAAGAAAATAACAGACTAGGTGTGAAAAATATATATTTTTGCTAATTATGTAACTATGCTCATTAGAGTACATATTTGCCATATAACAATTTGATTTGCTTTGTGCTTCTTTACAGAATCACAATGTGCAGCCCATTAAGGGAGTACTTTTTAATAATTGACGGTGTTGGAAGTTGGACAAAGGTGAATGCTTACACACAGAAAATGTGAGCTTGTAGCTGTTTAACACATTGCTGTATCATTATGAATGTGTCCTCTCAGCCCCCAGTAATAGTTAACACGACACGTGCCTTAGGATTTACTGGCTTGTGCAGTCGCTTGGTTGTTACCGGTCTGTGAACACTGCTTAGCCTTCAGCTATTAACTTTGAGGATCAACATACCTTTTGTATTTTATCCATCATTAAATAGTTCAGCTTTACAGCATCATTATTGCTGTAACATGGTGGAAGTGATTACATGCAATGAAAGGACTGAGGATGTTAAGGAGGACATGAGGACTGATGGCAATGGACACACTGTGGAAAATGTGGCTCCAGAGCCGGTCATCCATGGAACCAAGGAAGATCCGGAAACCCAAACGCAGAAGACCAGAACCTGGATATGGTCCGTAGTTTATCTTTGTTTCTATGGCTTCATGGTGCAGCTGAAGCCTGGAGAGCCGTTTATCACACCATACCTGCTCAGTACAGAAAAGAACTTCACTAGTGAACAGGTGTGGTGCTATTCTACTTTTATTCTTTAATAATCTTTTTCTAAGTTTGTGGGAGAAAAAAAAAAAAAAACGCAAATTAAAAATATAAAATCATTTAATCTTGAATCTTGATAAATTATACTGCAAAGCTTTTTTTTTAAATTTTGTAAACAATTAAACGCGAGAGACTGTTTTTCCCAACTATAGTATGTATTTATTTATTTATTTTCTTAATATCTAGTCAACACGTGACTGTGAGTTTGACACAGCTACTGGGGCCTGGCAAGCCATGTGAATGTGGTCAGAGTTCACATTCCTCCAAAGTGGGTCAGATCTGCTTTGAGGAGGGACTGAAACAATTATACTGACTTTATTATATGTAGATTTATTAACTATAAGATTACTTTTGTAAACACTTGTAAACCCTCATGAATTTGTACTCGATGTACTGATCTTATCAGGCTCTAACTGGGTGTTTTTTAAATAAGGTTAGTAAAACCATAAAATTAGTCAACCACATACAGAGAATATCTGTATGGGAATTTTCCACTGTTAAATGCTGCAAAATAGATTACAGTAGGTGCCTGTTTTGACTTGTTTTTAGCCCAGTGTTTGTCTCATGGATTAAAACACGTCTGTTTAGCCCACGTTATCTTTCACGTTACATATTTTTATTACGTTTTATTAAATAAAAGGACACCTAAAAGCTGTTACATTCATGTGTCATACGTGTGTCTGATCTGAATGTACAGCGCTCTCTCCCACCTTCAATACCACGACCGAGGTGCCCTTGAGCAAGGCACTGAACCCCCAACTGCTCCCCGGGCACCGCAGCAAAAATGGCTGCCCACTGCTCCGGGTGTGTGTTCACGGTGTGTGTGTGCACTTTGGATGGGATAAATGCAGAGCACTAATTCCGAGTATGGGGCACCATACTTGGCCACATGTCACGTCACTTCACTTCAGTATTGCAGTCAGTTACAATTAAACTAGAAGTACAAAGGCCAATGTTACATTTATGCTGTGTAATTGTAATAGTCGTATGTGGTAAATGTAATCGTAAATTAACCTCTGTAATGTGAATTATTGTTTTATGTTGACGTAATAATGTTATCCATTACAAAACACATCCTCATATAATGAATTATGGGCTATAACAGTGATACACTATATTGCCAAAAGTATTGGGACACTCCCTTCTAATGAACAGGTTTGACTTACTTTAGTAATTTCCATGAGCACAAATCTTAATATTTAAGCATGTAATGATATTCTAGGGAATTGGGTGCTTCTAATTTTATAGCAACAGTTTGGACATTAACCTTTTCTATTCTAACATGACAATGCCTCTGTGCATAAGGAAAGGTTTCAAAAGAAATGATTGATTCAGTCAGTGTGGAAGAACTTGACTGGTCTGCAGAAAGCCAAGTCCTAATCCCAGCTGAACACCTCTGGTGTGACTTTAAATGCAGACCTAGAGCCAAAAACTCATCACCAAACATCAATGACTTGTACATATACTATATGGACAAAAGTATTGGGACACCCCCTTCTTTAGAACAGGAAAAGTTACTTCTAAAACGGTGGCAACAAAGATGGAAACATAATTCATATATTTAAAAATTGTATTTCCACCCCTTTGCAACAGTTTTGGAAGTGTGTAAAAATACTGTACCCATATGTACAAGTCACAATTCCCTAGAATATTACTATATGCTTAAACATTAAGATTTGTACTCATGGAAATTCCTAAAGTAGTCAGACCTGTTCAGTAGAAGGGGGTGACCCAATACTTTTGGCAATATACAGTGGGGAAAATATTTATTTGATCCCCTGCTGATTTTGTAAGTTTGCCCACTTGCAAAGAAATGAAGGGTCTGTAATTTGTATGGTAGGTTTATTTTAATGTATAGAGACATACATATACCAACCAAAAAAATCACATTATATAAGGTTAGAAATTGATTTGTATCTCAGTGAGTGAAATAAGTATTTGATCCCCAAGCAAAACATGACTTAGTACTTGGTACAGAAACCCTTGTTGGCAAGCACAGAGGTAAGACATTTTTTGTAGTTGGTCACCAGGTTTGCACACATCTCAGGAGGGATTTTGATCCACTCCTCTTTACAGATCCTCTCTTAATCTGTGGTCCCAACTGCCTTAAGATCATTGACAAGCTCCTCCTGTGTAGTTCGGTTCTCATGATCATCCTTACCCCATGAGGCAAGATCTTGCACGGAGCTCCGGACCAAGGCCGATTGATGGTTGTTTTGTATTCCTTCCATTTCCGAATAATCGCACCAACAGTTGTCGCCTTCTCACCAAGCTTCTTGCTGATGGTCTTGCAGCCCATTCAAGCCTTGTACAGATCTACAATCTTGTCTTTGACATCCTTTGACAGCTCGTTGGTCTTGCCCATGATGGTGGGAGAGGTTGGAATGGAAGATACAGATTGTGTGAACAGATGTCTTATACACCTAACGAGCTGACATTAGGAGTAACTTCTTAAAGTGGCAGGACTAATCTGTGTTCCACATGGGCACATAACCAATCTGTGGGAGCCAGAATTCTTGCTGGTTGTTAGGGGATCAAATACTTATTTCACTCACTGAAATGCAAATCAATTTCTAACCTTTATATAATGTTTTTTCTGGATTTTTTTGATTGATATTCTGTCTCTATCCGTTAAAATAAACCTACCATTAAATGACAGACCCTTAATTTCTTTGTAAGTGGGCAAATTTACAAAATCAGCAGGGGATTAGCCTAAATAAATATTTTCCCCACTGAAAATATTTTCCCCATATATAAGGAAAATACATATTTCAGTCACCCCAAAGATTCACTTTTTAAATGGACTAAAACTGTAGTTCGAAATCAACCCCTTTTCCACAATGATATGAAGTATAATGTGGGATACCATGTGTTCTCCATGTGCACTACCCTTATTTCAGATGGCATACAGAAGGGCTGGGTCATTCTAAACAAAGTCCTGGATTATCTTTTTTCACAATGTTCATACTTTACCTGGGGTTAACAATTAAAGTATTCACAATCTGACATTTCACACTGTACATTCCTGGTGGTGAAGGTGAGTGCATTGTCTATTATTGTTATTATGTTTATTGCACGTTACAATTATCTCTGCTTTGTCTACCCCATGTAATAATGGCTTTCTGTGGTTTTTACAGGTCACCAATGAAATCAACCCAGTCCTCACATATTCCTATATGGTCGTGCTGGTGCCTGTCTTTCTGCTGACAGATTACCTACGATACAAACCTGTGCTGATCCTTCAGAGCTTGAGCCATGTTTCCATTTGGCTCTTCCTGCTTTTGGGAGCCTCATTGCTGGAGATGCAGTTTATGGAATTCTTTTATGGCATCACCATGGCTGCCCGTGTGGCGTACTCCTCGTACATTTTCTCACTAGTACCAGCGACTGTTTACCAGCGTGTAGCCAGCTATTCCCGCACATCTGTGCTCATGGGAGTCTTCACGAGCTCTGTGCTGGGTCAGATATTTGTGTCACTAGGAGGTGTAACATACAGGACGTTAAGTGCAGTCTCTCTGGGGTTTGTCACTTTTGGGTTACTCTTGTCCTTCTTCCTGCCATGGCCCAAACGTAGCTTGTTTTTCAACCAAGCACGTCTGGAAGAGGAAAGGAAGGAAGCAGCTCAATCGGAATTGGCCAGAATGAAGCCTGAGGAGAATGATGGCAGTGTGGCAGCACAAGGCAGTAACCACAAATACCCATCCTGGACAAATTCAGTGTTTATTCAGATGCTGAAGGAGTTAAAAAATGTTGTGAAAGTTCCCAGTTTAAGGCTTTGGAGCTTGTGGTGGGTGTTCAATTCCACTGGTTACTATTTAGTACTATTTTATGTGCACATCCTGTGGAATAAAGTCTACCCTGCCACAGATAACAAACATGTTTACAACGGAGCGGTTGAAGCTGCCTCTACCTTATTAGGTAAGATGGATTTTAGTGTTTTGTAGTCGTCATATTTTCTTTTTAAAAGAAAACAAAATCTCTAAAATAACAAAAACTACTGATAATCTCAATCACAGAATCGGACTTTAAATAAGTAGCATTCACTCTGATTTCTTAAGCAAATAATTGAACAGGTTGTTGGCAGAAGAACATACAAGAGGCATGTTTTCTTGCTCACCAACTGTTCATTAATTTCAGAGTAGATGTCACTTAAAGACTGATTTAGCAATGGTCATTAATATATAGATATACAACGTATTGGATATCAACCTCCAGTCCACTAATTTTAAGATTTAGATTACTTTTGTCATTATCCAACACTATTTTACAGGGAAGGCAGTAAATTATGGTAGAAAGATTTAAAGTCAGCATAAAATTAAAATTCACCCTGTTGATTATCTTTGTATTTTTTGCTAATTTTCAGCCAGCTTTGTATTGCTACAATGTCAGTAGTGAATGTAAATGTCAGTGAGGAACTCCTTTTCATGTTACCTGCACTCCGATATCTCAGTTATCAGTTTTCAGCAAAAGTCCACATGGATGAAGCAAAAGTGTCATTTTGTGTTATCCAGCAGATGCTTGACAGCTCCAGGGCTTTTGTTAAAGCTATATGAAACTGTTGCATTTTTATGTTCCTGTCCATGGACAGTCAGATTGTCAAAATCAGAAGTACAATTATGGTTATACAATTACAATTTATTTTTTTCGTTTCTACTGTATAGACAGCCATGTTTATTAAAAGCCCATCTTGTCAGCGGTGAATTCCCCGTTTAATACATGTTATTGATCTTATTGTGAATGATTCATCCATACATATCTCTATACATATTTTGACCTCAAAATCTTTAATCAAAATTTCTGGATCTTTTAGTGAAACATCATACTTCCCCCAGGGGTGTATGTTGAACTTCTCCAAACATTGCTGCGTCCACATCTTTCTTACATTCAACTACAAGTTTGCATTCAGATCTGTGCCCATTCAATCAACAACAAAAATGATGGAACCGAATCCCTGTCCAACATGTTTTTCTTCTTGATAATTAATTTTACTTAGATATACATCACAATACAGATAAATATCTGTGGTTACCTCTGTTTCATCTTCACCGTAACAGTGTTTTAAGAGGGCAAGTCATAATGAGTTGCTGTGCAATTATAGTGATTGCAAAGCTGTTTGCGTTTGTGCATTGCTGTATAATGTTCATTTCTTAAAAGTACAACCTTTTTATACTGTATGTGTTAATTTGCAGTGGGCAGTAATTTCAAACACGCACTCTCTACACACTCACTAATCATTCAGATCCATTGGGTATAACTCTTTGAGCTCTATTCTCTACCTAGACTTTTTCAAGAAATATCTAAACAGCATCCCAGAGGCACCCACTTTATATTTTTACAGTTTTCAATAGCAGGTACTCATACATACAATTTTCACTTTAGCAGACAGACTATTTATACAGTATTAGATTTTGTTGTTGTCGTAGTTTTCAATCTCTCTCTTGCTCTCTCACTTAACAAATAGTATAAATTTATGATAACAGCCATTTATTAGTTATCGGCCAAAACATGAAAATATTAATCTGCATATTTGTACTTTATTTATTTATTTTTTTATAGGATCTTAAAGTTTGATCTCCACATGAATCAAAATAATACATCATACAAGATGGTTTACTATTTGGCGAGAACAAGCAAAGTTCATGTTCCTCAACCTTTGAGCTTTGGCATGACACATGCTTGGAAAACACAAAACATACGAATCAGGATTGCTTATTCCTTATTGGAGTTTCTTCCAAGTAAACCCAAAGACCTTTATTAGTTGATTCAGGTGCACGTAATCAGAGTTGGAGCTAAACACAACAGGAAAGTGGCTCTTCAGAATTAGGAATGAAGATCACTAGTTTACATGACACAAAAGTAGAAAATGTTTGCAAAAGTTTTTCAGACCAGTTCACACTATTTTATGAACAGATTTCGACTTGGCGAAAATAGATGTTTGTTAATCAGCATTGCATGAGTATTACATGACAATCACACTTTATGTGCTCCATAGGTGCAATCACATCATTTGCGGCAGGCTATGTGAAAATTCGATGGAATCTTTGGTCTGAACTGGTGATTGGATTGATCACTGCAGTACAGGCCGGACTACTGCTTCTCATGGGCATCACAGATAACATCTGGGTTTGCTATGTGTCATATGCCCTGTTCAAAGGCTTCTACCAGTTCCTGGTGCCAATCGCTATGTGAGTTATATAAACCTATTGATTTATTTTTATTATTATTTAAAAGATTTTTAAATGTCTTATCTTTGTTAAAAATGACATTAAACAACACTGGCAAACATTGCATTCAGTGTTTCAAAGTCACTGTTTTAAAAGCAGATGTGTATGCACCTGTGAAAACATTAGCTTATTTAATGGAGAGCAAGAACTTTGCTTTGAAGTTCAAGTTTGTTGTAGTTTGCCACATGAGGAGCTTTTGATGGAACTAAAACTAAATAACGCAAAGAAAAATAAATGTATCAGTTCTCTGCATTTTGTTCCTAAATAACTCATTTTGTGTTTTTCTTCTCAGTTTCCAGATTGCCTCCTCTCTCACTAAAGAACTGTGTGCTTTAGTGTTTGGAGTAAACACTTTTCTTGGAACAGTCCTGAAAACGATCATCACTATCATTGTGGCAGATAAGAGGGGATTGGCTTTGAATGTTCAGTCTCAGGTGTGTAATTTTCTAGACTGACTTCAGTTAGTAGTTACACAGAAAAACAGGACCAGTTATGGATACCACCAACTTGTTAATAGAAGAAGAAAGTACAGTAATGTTACAATGCAGAAAGTTTCCCTTTATATTATAACCTCACAATGCAGAAAGATTTTGGCCTGATTCTGTTTCTCTTTCTCTTGCAGTTTTTTGTTTATTTCTTTTACTTCACTCTGCTGACTGTGGTTTATCTGGGCTGTAGTGCCTTTATCATCACATGTCATTACCGCAATCAAAGAGCACAGGAGGAGACTACAGAAGTAGCTATAGCCACTGAACTTAGTTTCATGACAACGGCTGCTAGTGAAGGCACAACGGCACATAATGGAACCAGCATTAAGACATGAGATTCAAAGGAATTCTCCATCTCTTAAACTGTTACTTCAAAATCAGAACATTTTATTCTTTTAAGTATGAGTAGCCTTTGTTTTATTATTTTATGTTTGTCCTATTGCTAGGAATAGCATTAGATTATTTTTTTTTTTAAACCTCATCAAATTCTAATTACATTTTGTGGAAAGTAAATATAATGGTTGAGGTTGTCATTAGGGTGGAATGCCAATGGAAAATGTAGTCTCGGATCGAGATTTGATCAGATCCTTGATTTTATTGTTTGTGATTTCATATGGTTGTCTTTGTTAGGGTGAGCAAAAAATGTAAAATCATTTTTGTAAGGAATGTTTGGAAGCCATTCTAGCATCTGATAGGATTACTTTTTGCCTTCAGTGTACCGTGACGGCAGAAGTATTATTTGCAGCTAATTATTGAAATTTAAATAATTACTACTGTACAGCCTTTAGTTCCAGTTCTCTAAATTGATTGGCCAAGCAGTTATCAAGGAATGCTGATATTTGTTATATGTCCTTATTTCTGATGATCTGATTGCTCTCCAGTGGAAGCTGGGTAGGGTTGGGACCTTTTTTGTCGGTGTTTTCTTTATCTCCTGGATAGGTCAGGGTGGGTTTCTGCTCACCAGTAAGCAGGAGTAGGAAATGGTAAACAGTGTTGCTGCCAAAGCGGAGTGATAACAGAATGTTATGAACAGGGATGGGAAATTGCTTCATAAAAACTTCAGTCTGTACATTGCTTGATGACACAAAGTTTGATGCTACTTTTTGCCTTCAGTGTACCGTGACGGCAGAAGTATTATTTGCAGCTAATTATTGAAATTTAAATAATTACTACTGTACAGCCTTTAGTTCCAGTTCTCTAAATTGATTGGCCAAGCAGTTATCAAGGAATGCTGATATTTGTTATATGTCCTTATTTCTGATGATCTGATTGCTCTCCAGTGGAAGCTGGGTAGGGTTGGGACCTTTTTTGTCGGTGTTTTCTTTATCTCCTGGATAGGTCAGGGTGGGTTTCTGCTCACCAGTAAGCAGGAGTAGGAAATGGTAAACAGTGTTGCTGCCAAAGCAGAGTGATAACAGAATGTTATGAACAGGGATGGGAAATTGCTTCATAAAAACTTCAGTCTGTGCATTGCTTGATGACACAAAGTTTGATGCTTTAGCGCTTTTGGAAATATTTGCCGTCGTTGAAGATACAAAATATGTGAATGACCATGTTTTGATGGAAATGTAAGTTGCTCAGTGTTAACTTTATAGAACGTCTATAAAAGAAATGTCACACAAAGATAATAAGATTGTTCACAGGACACTTGCTTAGTTCTACTGTATTTTAAAATGAATATTTTATAGTGTGATCACATTAGGAATTCCAGACCATGTCTAATTACAAATAAATAGTTATCAGAAAAAAAAGTATTTTTCATTTATATGTGTACTTTGTATTTTCATTTTTGTAAAATTCCAATAGTTTCAAACCAGCATTACAGGAACATATGCCTTAATATCCTACAGCACCCAATGAGCAAGACAAAGCAACAGTGGCAAAGAAAAAAATGTAAAGCAGGAGGAAAAACAGACTTGACACAAAAGACTAAATATGATCTAGTTATATAGGTTCTATAATACGAGTCATGTTCATGTAATAAAAGTAATTTAATGTCAAGGTTAAGAAATAATGTTTAAATTACAAGGACAATGATTAGCTTTTAGTTTGTGTTCTGCTGTCTTGTTCTATCTCTTGACAGAGGAGTGATGCAGGTAGATGTAAATGAAATGCTGCCAATGAAGCTTATTTATCTTTCAGTGATATTGAAACATATTCCAAGGTGGAAACAAGGAAAACAAATGACAATGTGTATAAGTGATGCTTATTTTTATAGTTGCAGAAGAAATCCAGACAATTGTTGGATTGGTTGGTAATTTTTGCAGACCTGTCTTAACACTGCATAACTGTTTTTTTCTATCATATTGGTTGAAAGATAAATTAGGTGTATGCTAGGCTGACATGAGGAATCTAGCCTTAAATTGAGAGTTTGAGCACCAAAAATTGTCAGTGTAGCCACGATAAAATTAATCTGATACGATCAGATTTTCTGGTTTTGAACCAAAGTCTGTTTATTTAGACTGCTGCAAGCTCTACTTGAAATATTACTTTATTTACTCTTTATACAAGATTGCTGGTAGAAAGTCCAGCAGCACTGGGAGGTTTCACTATTTATATCACTGTGTGTTATGCTTGTCTGCGTTTGCAGATGGAAACATGATTCCAGTTTACAACAAATTTCTTATGAGTGAGTTAAGTTCTTCACTCAAAAACACAAATTCATTCAGAAACAAAACCTTACTACAATGTGTTGCACTAAGACACAATGGTTCATCTTGCTTTGACTTTTCATTGGTGGAGAAAAATTATATATATATACACACACACACAGGCACACTACCATTCAAACATTTGGGGTAAGACGAGTATCAAGCAATTTATTTCTCAAATAAATATTACAGAATTTTTAGAAGTGAAGCAACCAGTGATGAGTAAACAATAGAATGTCTATAACGTTTGTTTATTAATGTAAGTGCCATTGAAATACAGCAAAGATAAAAGTAATAATGTCTTTGATGTTTTTAGTGGTCACATTTGAACTGCAGAATACAGCAGGCTGTAAAGTACAGAGAACTGCAACTCTTTAAAATTGTATTCAGGTTATGTGTAAAAACCAAACCAAAATAAATAATAATACAAAAACAATGATTTACATATTTTTATTAATAGTCGTCTTCTTTCTATAGAGAAAGTCAACCAGTCATTTTGCATTACATCATGGAATGTTTGATGTTGCAAAGTATAAAAATGTAGAAAGGTTACATAGATGTTTACATAAAATCAAATACAAATGTGAATGAAAATGGTTATGACAACAAAGTAGTTTAAAGAGAATTAGTTATTAAAATTTGGAATGTAGCCCTTTTCTTTGGCAATATATTGTGAAGGCACTTGCGAATGTCCATTTTAAAATAAGCTGTACATAAATGTTTTTGCCTGAGGGTGTTCAATACTGCCCTGTTATTTGTGAAAATATAATATGTACATTTTTGTTAAAAAATATAAAACATAAAACAGCGATTTTCCCCCTGAATTTAGCTTTAATCAATTTTATTTTTAAATGCTCAAGTATTTCATTGTAGGTTCTCTGCTATGACAAAATGTTTGTTGTAAGGTTTATGATGCAAAAAGCAAAGTATATCATTGTTTGTTTTGAAACAAATGGCTGTCACACAGCAGTTAATACATAAAAAATAGTCAAAATGTAATTCTAAAATACATGTAAATTAACATAAACAGTATCACCATCAATCATAAAAACTAAGTTTCAGTTTGTGGTGTGACTCAAGGAAAATTTTGGTTTAGCAAACATTTTGGTTCACTCAGCAATGTAGCTGTTCTCAATGCACAGTACGATAAAAGAGCTGCTGCAGCCGCGTGGCAACTGCTGAAGTAGGTAGCCTTCTTGGAGAGAGGAAGCCATGCCAGTGACGGCATGACTACCTGTTCGCCATGTTTCACAGTAGCTGTCTGTCTGCCTGCTTCCTTGAGTGCTTGATCCATGCCATACCATCTTCTCTGGCCTATTAAAGTGGTTATAGAGAAAAAAAAAAAGGGCTAATCAGACTAATCAGTTCTGTTAAGATTTTAGCTATGGATATGTGTTAGACCTACTTACCAGGCATCATCATCAAGAATATCTCGACCATCAAATGAATAGATGCGCACATTATCATTCATCTTGCCCTCTGAGCCACTAAAGATGGATTCCCAGTTGCTGAATAATTCCTCATCCTGTGAACATATTAAACAGCTCAGTAAAAGACTGTATTAAAGAGATTTTACAGTATATTCTGTAAAACAATAGTGTTGTGTGTGGACAAAGGAAGGATCTTACTTGAAGATTGACTATGGGTAACAGTTCCCTGTTGTTCTGTCGAACAATACTGTATAGATCCTGTAACTGGGATGACAGGAAAGCCCTGAACGTTCCTTTTAGCCCAATGGCTTGGGCCTGTAAGAAGCACTGGTGATCTACACCTTTAATACCCTGCATGTCGCCCAGCTGGGGTGAGTTGAGAGCGATCAGGTGCAGCTAGGGTGACAAAATCAGGTGACAGATAGTTATACATTATATATTCAAAAGTAGTTTACATTACAAGAAGATAAAAATTATTTAGATTATACAAAAGGACATCACCTGACATTCTGTACTTTCTATTAACAAATTCTGAATTTTTTAGAATATGCTGTACAAACAATATTGATGAGTTGTACACATCACCTGCATGTTTTAATATATCACATAAATCACAGTTGAGGTCTGTAACAAATCATTTTGAATATTATTTATTTAAAAAATAAATTTTTTTTATTCACTACCGTTCAAAAGTTTGGGGTTGGTGAGATTTTTATAATGTTTTTGAAAGAAACCTCTTCTGCTCACCAAATTACTGATTCCACATTTTTGAATGGTGGTGTATGACAGTAACATAATTTAAGGCTATTTAAAGCTAATTTAATGTGACTGATATCACAAAAGCTTCTGTGGCAAGAGCTTTTTTAGTTTTACCAAGTGTTGTGGATTTCCCTTGCAGTGTTACTTTAAAAAGTAATGCATTACAATATTGAGTTACTCCCTAAAAAGTAACTAATGGCATTACTTAGTTACTTTTTATGGAAAGTAATGTGTTACGTTACTTTTGTATTACTTTTTCTCATCTGGGCTGGGCTTGCTTGCTTGCTTTAATATAAAAAAATAATATTTTTGGCATATGTAAAAGCCCTTTCACACCAAAAGTGAAATGAATAAGCCTCAGGCTGAAGTAAATGTAAATTCAGTTATTAACATATTTAATTATTGCAGGTTTGCATCATATTCTGAGTTTGAATTTCACTGTTATTATACTGCTATTTTATGCATTTTGAGGAATACTGAATCTGTTTTTGTGCAAGCGAGATGAGTAAATGCATGTTGACATTTATAGTCAAGAACTACAGTAACCATAATGTTTACTTCCGCAC